TTCTGCAGCTTTTCCACATAACTCATACATCTGAACAAGAGCCAGTAGCTTTGATTTTGGTGGGAAACTGAAAGTGCAGCTGAACAGCAACAGAGTGCTTCTCTGGATGTGCTGTTCATTGTTTATTCCATTCTGTACGTTTGACATTTGGCTAGATTAAGGTGTGGCTCCTATGAGCTCCTGTGGTGCTTTTACTGTGCTAGGCAGCTGAACACCACAACTGGTCTCTCACTCCCCCTCCTTCGAAGAGGAGGGGAAGATGTAAAGGAAAGAACAACGTACGGGTTGAGATAAGGATAATTAAATTAAAGGGAAAAAATAATTATTAAGGAAAGATTATTATTAATGAAACAATTTAACTAAAGGGAAAATAGGAAAAGTGAGGGGGAAAGGGAAAAACAAAACAAATAAAGGCTATGTGGAAGTGCAGAGGAAAGAAATTACTCTCTGCTTCCCACAAATGAGCGATGCTTGACCACGTCCTTGAAGCAGGGCCTCAACAATGCATGTAGCTGGTGTTTGGGAGGAGGACTGAAGTTTTCATAACGAGAGCCCACCCCTCCCCTCTTCTTCCTTTTTCCACCTTTTATTGCTGAGTGCAACATATGGTATGGAATATCCCTTCGGTTGGTTTAGGTCAGCTGCCCTGGTGATGTTTCTTTTCTCAATTTTTGCTCACCCCCTAGGAGGGTTAGAGGGGGTCCTGATGCTGTGCCAGCACTACTCAGCAGCAGACACAACACTGCTGTGATCCCACTGCTGTTCTAGCTCCAAGTACAGAGCACAGCACTGCATGGGCTGCTGCAGGGAAAGTTAACATCCCAGCCAGACCCAGTACAGCTCCTTGTGGGACTGCTCATCAGCACTCAAGGCCTTGCTTTGTTGCCGTATTGCTCTTCGTTTTCTGTGAATATGCAGAGCAGTCTAGAATTTAGTCTTTGGGGTGTTTATGATTTGTGGTGTTACATTCATATGTATTTTGAATGTATTCATGTTATTTAGCCTAAAATAGGATAGATATTCCTGAATTTTTTTTTTCTTTTTTCCATACCAAAAATGAAGTGACTGGTACTGCGAAGGCAGCACCAGACTTGGTGAGATGTTTTAAGGTATTAGGTTCTACAGGCTGCTTTAAAGGTTCTGCTTCCGTCTAATCAGTGAGCCATTACCAGCTTTTATCTTTTGTTTTCAGCACTCCTTTAGTGCAGAGTTCTTATTACAGAAGCAGCCCAGCTAGCTGTAATGTCGCAACATTTAACGGTGGTGATTGATGTGTATCAAGCCAAGGAAGAGCTTCTCTGTTTCTCAGCATACCCGCTGGTGACCTCAAGGACAATCTGACTTTCATTCCGAGCTCAATAGCAAATTAAAACAATCACTGCAGGGTGCTTAGAAATTTTTTATTTATTTATTTAGGTCTGTTCAGGTATAGCTAGAGGCTCCGTTATGAGCTTAGAGAGATCCCATTTCCGCCATGTCTAGCACATGCCCTTTTGTGATTCCAGGGTGTTACACCCTTGAGAACTGGAGTAAGGAATCTGACCCACCATTTTTGCCAATTAAAACACTTTCACATGGTAGAATGAAATAGCAGAACCAAACGTAGGGTGCTGTAGTGGTTTGATTTTTTTTTGTTTGTTTGTTTGTTTTTGATTTTGCTCACTGAGCTGGGTTGATTTAACAGCTTCTGCTGTCTACAGGGGTAAGTCTTGATCTGTCCTTGTTTGATTAATAGAAAAAGTATACCCTCAGTTACTTGCACAAGCAGTGTTGCAGTTGCAACTGTGAGCTACCTCAAGGAGCTGTGAAACTTCCGTATTTTCAGTCACATCAGTTCCCTGACCTTGCTGCAGTTTCCTAAGTGTTACTGCTTATGCAAAGGAGGTGAGTGGATGGGCAGGCCTGAACAGTCTGTAAGTGCACATCAGCAGTTCGGGTTTGGACGGAATTAATTTGTGAGAGAATCACAGCCTTGGTCCTTGGGTATGGTACATTAAGCTTAAACATACACCAAAATCTGAGGAAACAGTGTCATTTGTCTGTTATGACGTTTGTCATTACATTTCTTCTACTCTAATCTGTGGGAAGGAAAACACTAACAAATGCTACTAGCCTTTCTTCTCCTTCCATGCAGAATAAATACAGCATTCTGGCAACAAAGGGGGAGTGCATCCAGGAATGGAGAGATGCTTTTGCAGGCATCTGGAAGAATTTCTTGAGGCAAATACCACATCAGGATCTGTAGTCACTGCTGCAAAGGCAGTGAGGCTTGTTGCAGGCCCTGGGCTTGTGAGCATTTCTAATGGTCCGTGCATGGTGAGGGCAGCCTTTCCAAATCTATGTGTGTTTAGATTGCACTGCAAAGCTTCACATTGCTCTATTTATAAGGCATAAATGTGTCTATGACTAAGGCAGACAGCCAAAGCCACTTCATTATTTTCAGATATGCTTCCTGTTCGGGGACATGCTGAACGAAAGGACACAAAGCCAGGTCACAGCTCCGTATGAATTCAGGCCATCATCTGAAGTGCCTTCTGCTTCTATACAAACAGAAGGAATAGTAGAACATTTAGCATGGAGGTTTACTCATATGCCATTTCCAGTTAGTAATTAATGTTATTGTGTCAAATGTGTCAGCACAGCAGCGTGTACAGTGGCAATCAGCACAGCTCTCGGGAGATGGTTGCTGAAGCTGGCTCTCTGTGTTGGTCTTAGTACTTGGTCCAGGTATGGCCGTGGTGTGGCTGATCGATGTAGTGCTGTTGCATGCAGGAGGTTTGTGGTTCTAGACTAACCCAAGTAGTCATCTGAGGAAATAACCTTTATGTCCACTGATCTTTGCATTGTGTTATAGAATGATTGATGAGAAGTGTCCAGTTCCCTTGCCAAAAAGTAAGTACTCACCCAGTGTAATGCAGGTTACTCAAGTGCATGGAAGTTTGACTAAAATTCATGCAAAAGGGACTGTATCACACTATGTGATATATGGCTTTCTCAGGATCCTATAAGGGGCTGCAGAAGTTCTGTTTTTCTACCAGTTACCCACAAAGTTGTTTGAGGGACTGGCAATCTAGTGCTTAGTTTATCATGAAATGGCGTGTGGTGTCCCTGAATAACTTTCCAGCTGTCTTTACAACTTCCCAGCAGAGGAAAAAATAAAAAAAGTTGTGGTGTTCTGTTGATTGGTTTTATTGTTTTTTTTTTTTTTTTTTTTAATTACTATTATTTATTTATTGCGAAGGATAATGGTGCTTGTGTAACATACTGCATATTGGTTTCAGAACCTTTGTGTTTTTCATCGTGATAATGCCATATAATAAAGCTATCTCAAATAGAGTTGTAGGATCCTTACAGATAAAAGCTTGTGAAAGACTATTTTATTGCTGTAATTTTATTTGCAGGAGCCTGGATCACAGCCACTTCCTACAGGCTCATTTGGATGCTTTAGTGTGAAATCCACTCAGGTGGAAAGTTCTTATTCCTATGGACCTTTGTGTGATTTGGTGAATTAGGGAGAGAATTAGTGGGAGGAGAACAGGATAAGAAAGCTTCCCACAAATCTGCTGTTAATTACTTGCATGTTTTTCCATCCCTTGTCTTCTTTCTAGCTACATCTGACAGAGTCCTGCTGAGCCTGAGGCAGTGTTCTGGAAGGCTCTCTAGTTGTTAGTGCCTGGCAGGTCCTTTATGCTCTGCTTCAGAGAAAAAGCAAAACAGACTTAACTGTAAATGGACTGACGGGGAACAGGTTGTCCTAACAGCTTTCTGTAGAAATGGATGTTGACTTCTTGTGGATGTTGCTGAATAAAACAGAAATTGCATGTACTCACGTGTATACCTAGGAATGTGTGTGTATATATATATATTACAGCAGAGACATCTTACTGGGGAGTTATTTTCTTGTTTTGGTGGTTTTTACCAACTTCCTGTCCCTAAACGTGTATTTCTCTTTGTGAATCTAAAAACTAAGCAAATTCTGTCAGCAAATGTATTGTTCAGCTCAGCACTTTTGGCCTGAACTCATTCATCTTTCTTTTTTGAAAGGAGTTTTATTATACTCTGTGGCAGCAGAGCAAAGCTATTTGCTTTCATTCTGTGTCCTTTAGCAAAGTTTTTAGCTAAAACCTAATCATTGTAATAGCTTGCTGAGGGTTTCTCTAGGAAAAACACTTGCTTATTGCCTCTAAAATACACCATTTTGAGGAATAAGCTCAGACAAGAATGAAGCAAAACTGTGTGAAATGGAGTGAAATGGAAATGGTCTGTGTGACAGTGCTACAATTACAAGTCTAGATCTACTTTGCTAGTGAGGCACAGCTAGGTAAAGGGCTTTTTTTTTTTTTTTTTTTTTTTTTTTTTTTTTTTTTTTTTTTTACTGAGAAGTAAGGTCTTGCAAGATGCTGTTGTCCGTAGCGTAGATGGCATGTTATTTGTCTTTTCAGTTTCATGCCTGTATCTTGATCCCTGGGTTTTGCTCAGTGTTAGTACATTGGTTCAGGCCTGCTTCTTGTGTACATGTAGGAATCCGGTGCTTAAAAATTATATACAAATGGTGTGAAACCCTGCTTAATAAAAAACTGAAGGTACGTGTCAGTGTTAGCAGCAGTTGTGCTGGATACTACATCAAAGCCCTCTATCTCCAAAAAGATGGGGGTTGGATATGTCAGTCTTATGCACTTACAGATAATGATTAGCCAGATTTGTTTGATTACTCAGGTTGGATAACTGGGAAAGGTTCTTCACTAAGATGGCGGTCAAGCACTGGAACAGGGTCCTCAGGGAAGTGGTCACAGCACCAGGCCCTCCAGAGGACAACGTTCTCAGGAGCATTTGGACAACGTTCTCAGACACAGCGTTTGGTTTTTGGGTGTTCCTTTGTGAAGCTGGGAGTTGGACTTAGATAATCATGGGTCTCTTCCAGATTAGGTTTATCTAGGATTCTCTACTGTATGAATTGAATGGGTTATTTAAAATGACTGTTTTTTTCTACTTGTTTACAGGTTGCATGGCCGGTACCATGAAATGGCACCAAACGTTGTGCCCATGGACTATACAAAGGACCCGGATGTTAAACTACCTATGCAGCTTATAATAAACATGCCTGAGCTAAAGGTATGGCTTCTGACTGCTTACAAACTGTATTCTGATAAGCTCTAAAGCTTTCCTGCCAGAGATAGTGTCAAATAAGTTTGGTATCTTTTCCCCTTCCAGTTATTGTTCAAGGGCAAAGCCAGCCACGGAAAATGGAAAATATTTAGGTGGATGTCTCCCTTGAAGAGATAGTTGGGATAGAAATTAAAGGAAATTAGTAACAACTAAAACTAAAACACTCTCTTCACGTCATATATCCTTTCAAAGCCAGTGGGTTGTTTTGCTGATGACTTTCCTTAATAATATTGTATAGTATAGGAATGTAGTTAGTATGTACCTCATTATTGTTAAAATAGTTACAAAATTGAAACCTGAGATGTGAAATGAGTTTTTCCCGGAGTTATTATAATATTTCTTTTATCAGCCAGTTGAAAGCTGTTCACCCTTGTAACTCCTAGAGCTATGTAATGCAAACTACATAAAAATTAGAATTCAGCTACAGGTTAGCTTTGTATCAGCTGTTTGCATTTTCCAAGTCTGTGTCCTTGACTGCCAGGGCTATTGGTGTAATTCCCTCCTCTGCAGCTTATGAAGCTGACCTTCTTATCTCATCTCTAATGAAATGTATGGCATTTACTAAATCATGTAGGTATTACAGTTTTAAAAAGTTATTCTTCACCCATTACAGTACTCAGCATCAATTAGGAAAAGGATGTGCAAGTAGTATAATTTAAGGTTTGTTTATGTATGAAACTGTAACAGCAGCAGCATTCTATAAACCCTTTTTTAAACAATATTATGTGTGTAAATATGTTGAAATATCTATGAAAGAGCCTAAATTATGTGCCTATGGAGTTAATGAAGAAGAAAGTGCATCCGGAGAAGTAATCATGGAGCTTGAAAATGGATGGTATAAAGATCTTGCTGAAATGTTCTTTTCAGTTCATCAGTTGGCATAAAATATCTTACTATATGTTAACTGTTCAGATACCATAAATATATACTGCAAGTTTTTGCATCACACAGATGTTTTTATACTCTTTTCTTATTGTACAGATAAGAAAATTAGGCAACAGGACAAGTTAGCAATACTTTGCAAAAATGCAAAGTATTTTTTTATATTTTTCCTCTCTCAAATTGAGTCTAAATTGGAGATAGCAACACGGATTTCTAAGTTGATTATCTAGAATTAGATTGTTTAAAACATAATTAGGCATCTAAATTGGTAGCCTGAGATAAGTAGCTAGCACAAGCAGAGCTAATTAGGCCCCTAGGCTGTATACTGAAGTATATTGTTAAATTGCTAATGGAGCTAAAAGTTGGAAAGTAGAAGGCTTGCTCTAAGCTTTATCTTTTGTAGTTATGATGGGATCAGATGAGTGGTGAGAGGTGAATTGAGCGCAATTATGCACTACTTTTCAGAAAGACAAGGAGTTTACTGCAAGAAGTTATTAGAGAGATGGCTGACAACACGTGAACAATGAGAACCCGATGCCACATTGTGGATGAGACAGCACTGATATCTTCAAAAACTATTTAAGTGCTCGTACAGAGAATAATTCCACAGATTACTAACTAGATTTATGATTTGGATGTTATCTCTGTAACTCAGAAGTCCCTCATATTCATTGCACTGATCTCTTTCTTTCTGAATTTTATTTCCATCTGCTGCTGGTTCCAGTTAGAGTTAGGCTGGTGGACTGGATGGACTGATGATTTTGATGGTTACTCTTTTTTTCTCTCTTAGAGGTGATCCCTAGATGAGTTGAATTTGTTTTTAATGTCCCAGTGAGATTTGCTTTAGATTAGTTAAAGGATCAGTTCTTAACAGTTATCCTGAACCAGCCAGTTACCTGGAACCTATCTTAAAATATGAATATATTTCTGACTTGCTGACATGTTGGATGGACAGCTGTATATAAAAATGCAAATTAGTCTTGTATGAGATGCAATAGCAGAAGTTACTAATGGTCTTACCAATATGAATAAAAATTAAAATAAGCTCATCAGCTTTTCCAGTAGCTGGCAGGATAAAATAGTATGTGCTTCATGTGGTCAAGTACATGGGAGTATCTTGAAGTATCCTGATTGTATTAAGCCATCTGCTGTGTTTTGCTTATGCACAAATATTGATTTTTTAGATTTGTGATTAAAATACATGGTTCTTAAGGGGTTTTGATTGACTCATTCTTTGTTGCAAGTAGTTTGATATCTCTATCATGTCATGCCTGCAACTCTTTCATCACTGTAGCATCTTAGGTGTTTGTACTGGCACTTCAGGTGGGGAGACTCACTATTCCTTAAGTTTTACGTAGTTATCAAAGCAGAATCTCTAGGATGTTGAGAGCGTGATATGGAATTTTCTGGCTCAGTTATGTAACTCTGAAGGGCTTAGCTGCCAGATGGCTGGTAGTTGTTTTGTGAGACATTGGCAGGCTGATTTCAGCCTACAGTTCAGAAAAGAAAAGAAGTGATGGTAATCACACGTACTTTTTTTGTCTTCAGAGATAAAGGATGAGACACTTAGGGAACAGCTGTTCTGTGAAAATGTTAAGTGGTGGACTGCTTTTTTTACATGACAGTGTGGTGCGTAAGCTGAGATATAAAACATAGGTTTTATGTTGACCCATGATTAGATTTTGTGATACAAGAGCGTATGTCACTTTTGTAACATATTTAGGTGGTAGTGGTGTAATAAATTTGCATAGGTGTATTTAAGGTGGATCAAAATCTATCTTCTTTCACCCCTTCAAATCTGTGAAGCTTTCTGACCCAGCTATAGACTGTCCTGAGACAAATTGAATTTGGTTTCATGCAAGTGGCAGGACAAAACTCAGTGTCAAATTTAATAATAATTCTCTCCCAAGTTTCCCAAGGCTGTGAAAACCCTTAGAAATACTGCTGTCAAACCAATCATTTCAGGAACTGAGTTTGTGGAGTACCTTCCATAGCTGGTGAGCTTGTTTCCAGTAAAATAACAGTTAAAAGAGGAGACTGGATCTGCCCCACCTCCCAGGGTCTTTCAAAATATTGACAGTTAAAGGTTTTAAAATGTCACCTAAGATCTCAGTCATAAACCTGGGCCAGCGTTGGTCACGAAGCATTTCCCTATCTCTTATAAAGACAGGGGAACAAGTCTTTCACCTATAGTTCATTTTCCAAGCAGTCTAGGTATTGACTTCAGATCATACACAAAGAAAAAATGTCCTTAACCTTTGCAACTTTCCCAGACTGCTAAATAAATCGATATTGTTTATTCAGTAAATTTTCATCAAGGTGAAGACAAAACTGACATTTGAATCTCAGAATAGAAACAAACAAACTAAATGTCTATTGAATTCTAATAAAATTAGTGATAATTTCAATGCACCTGGCTTTTTTCATATGCACATTACACTTCTAGTTACTGGCAATGTTGAGCTTAATACCACTGCAGATTCTGACAAATGGATAGAATCAATAATGCACTTTTCTAAATTAGATTCTGCTACTATAAAGAAATATCTTTACTTCACGCATTAATGTTTTGAGCCAGGATGTTTTTAAATATGTCTGTGTTTCAAAGGAAAAAACGATCTTCACTAACTTAAATTGGCAATGAATTTTTCACTAATTCATGGTCCTTAAGTTGAAAGTCAGGGCAAGAAACAAATAAATAAAGAAGGGGCAGATACTTTAAGTTGATTAGTTCTACCATTACACTGAAGTTAACAGATCGAGTTTACTCCATCTGTTCCATTGGAGTCTCTGTCCTCTAATTTTGACAATCTTGGCTACACAAGCAAAAGTCTAATAAGTTCATTCAAGGGCATATGAGAACATTTGAGATTATGCTAATTAATACTGCAAATTTGTCACAACAATACGAATTGCTGAGTATGAGGCCATGTAAAAAGGGAAGATGCCTTTATTTCAAAACACAGCTGATTTCACTTGCATTATCCCTGTCATTTCCACATAACTAGATGTGGGAATGTAACCTGATCACAGAGATCACACGTGTTCTGTAGGATGCAGGACTACATGTGTGGTTGCCGTTTTTGTGATGTATAAATCTCTGACTGTAAGAACCTTCAAGTTGGCATACGGCTGTTTCTGGTTGTGGCAGCGTAGCAATCTTTGCGTCAAGACGAGGTCATAAAAGGGCTTTCTGGAGGGGAACCGTTTTTGTTTCATTCACTTTACAGTCTGTTGCTTTCCATTTTTGGCTTGTGCAGTAACTTCATTGATCCTCACAGGCCTTGTCATTAGCTGCAGCGGTGAGTGAGGTAGTTCATAAATCCACACACTACTGAAACAGAATGACCAGCAGGCACAGGAATCAGTCAGGGGAAAAAAAGGACACACAGGGAACAGAGAATTGATCACACTTCAGAATCAGTGTTAGCACCCTGTTTTTTTCTAAGTTTAAACATGAACACATACATGCTGCTTCAAAATAAAAATAAAATAATTTCCTATAATTTTAAGAGGATTGAGTTTTAGAAGTCATTCCAATGATTTTGTTGCACTGGTGCTAAGTAAAGATCTGTCCTCAGTTTTAAAAGTTTTAAAGTTTTCTGTGTAATGGATGGTGTCACCCAAGAGAGCAGGTTGATTGTCTTCCCAGACCCTCACCCTGCTCTGGCTAACGTTTGCCTCTAGCTCATCCTGACATCCTTGTCCCTGCATCCTGTTAGTTGTTTCTAGTTATTGTGGGATGCTTTATGCCTTTTAGACTTTTCCTTTTGTCTTTCTGAAGGTCATTTTTAACAAGTGTTTCTCAAGTTAACCCTGAGCACTCCAAGTGTAACAAGTGAGGGCCGTTTTTTCTCTAAATTCTAAATCTGTACCTATTGATGCTCTATACTAGTATTTTCTACACTTTCTTGCTGTAGTGAATCAGGTTTTGTTTCAATGCCTTATATTGCCATGATGGACTACTATGTTCTGCAAGAATCAGCAATCCCATATGCAACTGGCATCTTTGTTTTTTTGGCCCTCATGACCGTGGTGCAATCATCATTAAATAGGTAAGCTTG